GTTCATTTTAATATTGCTCTAAATTTATATCTAGATGGCAAATCTTTCAAAATAATTGAAAATTTTATTATTAGCAATAAAAATGCATAGTTTCACTTGGAGCTTTCTTGTGATAAGTTCATAGGGTTAATTATACTTTACCTCTATAATTTTAAAAACACTTTCTCACTAATATACAAATAATCCTTCATAATCGAGAGTAAATGCAAAACTAATGGATTTCACTGAAGATAAGATAACTACGCATATTGCTCAAATGCTTATGAGACACTTGACATTTGTGCTTATAATTAATTTAAGAAGCAAAGTTACCCTATTACCTTATCCAAAATGTTTTCATCATTTTCTTCAATATTCTTGTTCATCATTCCTCCACCATCTCTATCTTGCCACTTCAACCCACCACCATACTTTTAAATCCACCACTATCAAGATATACAAATGTCACCAATACCGCATCAATCACAATTTAGGTCTCATTTGACAAGTGATTTTTTTAGTTAACAAGTTAAAAAATTACTAAAAAAATTAAAAAGTCAATAATCTATACAAAAAAGTTCAAATTTCTCTTTTCTCTTTACTTTTTGCACATCTTTTCGTAAAAAATTAAAAAATCATTCCAAACATATTAATTTTTTTTTACATCATATTTTAGCCAAAAAATTAAAAAAATTACTAAAAAAATATATTCCCAAACGAGATCTTAGTCCAAAATGAGAATATCAATCGTCATACGTAGGACACAGTTTTTTAGAAAGAGTAGAATTTTTGTTGGTCAATTTTTCAGTATGCTAGTTTTATCAACAATGTCTATATAGAAAGTGCATTGGTGCTGAGAGAGGAGGCCATGGCAGCGAATATGGTGGGTACTCAGCTGGTTGTAGTAAAAGGGTCTTCTACGAGAGGGAATATGGCGGTGGCATAGAAAAAAATTAGACAAGAAAACAAGGGTAATATAGTATTTTTCACAAACATCATTAAATGTGTTAGATATTATATATTTCATTTAGATCACACAGAGAATGTGTATATTTGTAGATTACATACGATTAAGAATATGAAATTATGAAGAAATAAATGATAAAATTTAACTATGTTCATTATTATAAATAAAATGGTAAATTACAAAGACACTCGAGAGATTTGCTTAAATACCTATTAGGATTGACTATTAATGAGTTCAATGCCAAATAATGAGACTTATATGCAAATTTTGTGAGCATTTGGGATTTATTTTATTTTTTAGTTTTTAAATTATTTTAGTTTTGAGTTAAAATATTTTATTTGAGATAAATTTTTTAATTCTTTTTAAAAAAATGATGCAGACCACTAATTAATTGTTGCACTAAAAATGTGGCAGTGGGTGTGTTTTGTATCTTAGTTTTTTTTTTTTTTACTTATCACGTCATTAGTAATAATATTAATAATAGAAATTTAGTGACATGTAACATTGTGACTTTTCATGACAACTACCGTCTAACTCAAACGTGCAGTTTGTCCCAAGACATGCGGCTTCATGTTTTTGGCATGTGCGTCCCACTTAATTTGGGATGCAATCCTTGTTTTGAGCGGTTTTGTTTACTATCCATGCATCCAATCAACCTTTAATCGTAGTTTTTTAAGAGAAAAACTTATTTTAGATATTTTTATTAAATATCGGCAACTCATGGTTGGTCGGATGTACGAATTACCATTTCTCCTAAGATTTTGAAAACATTGTTCTTGCTTAAGACCAAAAAATATTTTGAAAACTCGGGTTCAATTTTGGAGGTTAACTCAGAAAGTCTATTAGGAGTTCAAGAGCACCGTTGCACTAAAAATGTGACATTTTCATCTTTGGAAAATACTTGAGTGTCAAAATCTTGCGGCCAGTCAAAATATATTAAGATGAGATTTTTTTTTTCAAAATTGAAATTGATTAAATCTTATTTGATCCAGCCATGTCACAAAAATATTGCATTAATTAGTTATATTTCTTGAAAACGATACCAGAAATAAGTTAATTTTATTTATTTATTTATTTTTATAGGCGAAAGTTAATTATTAGTTGTTAGATTAGCTTCAATAGAAATAAGTCTTCCCACCCTTACAAAGCATCAATTGCTTACCTCCCCCTTGGGACTAATAAATAAGATAAATTTATACATCCTAAATTAGTATTACACATCTAAAAATTCAATAACGTAAGATTTAAGTGATATAGTTGTTTCAATTTTTATTTGGTAGTATAACTTTCGATTTTGTTTAATATTTTTCTTGTTGTAAATTGAATTTTACTAAACTATAAAACAACTAAATCATATTTTCAACTTTTTCAGAATTTATAATATTATTTTTTGACTTGATCTCTGTGACTAAATTTTATGATATAATTTTTGTAATTTTATATAAACAGAATTTAAGTGGATATTAACAAATAAAAATTATAAGTACTTTGTTACTTTAATTATTGGAAAAATTTGTGAAAAATCCATTTTAATGAGTGTGTATGTCCTTAAGTTCAAAGATTGTTTTATTTCGATGAATTATTTAATAGCTAAAAGTGACACCTTCCCCGACCAGAAGCCTTTAGTAGTGAAAAAGCCTCATTCGGCGACTAATACTTTAGTGGCGGAAACATACCTTTTGGCGACTAAACTAAGATTAGTAGCCAAATGTGTACTTTCGGCGACCAATTATTTAGTAGCTAAAAGTGATACCTTCCCCGACCACAACAAGTTAGTAGCCAAAAAGCCTCATTCGGCGACTAATACTTTAGTGGCGGAAACATACCTTTTGGCGACTAAACTAAGATTAGTAGCCAAATGTGTACACTTTCGGCGACCAAACAAATTTTAGTCGCCAATACTATCGCCGACAGGGTAAAGGCGACGAACTTAGCGACAAAAAATTTTGGTCGCTAAACACCTTCGGCTACTAAATAAGTGACTTTTGGCGACCAATATTTTGGTAGCCAAAAGTGACATTTCTTGTAGTGATAAGTGATAGGTGAATAGATTGATAACATGTAGATAAATATATTAATGGAATAATAAATAGATAAACAAATAAATAAACATAATAATAATCTCTCAATTTGTTTATGTTTATTATTATTGTGATTAGGCATAATTACTCATTTTAAGAATTCGATAAACTCAACATGCAAGCATAGCAGGGGCTTGGTCTTTTGATTTTAGAAGACAGCTATATGAATGGGAGGAGATGGAATTCGTTAGGCTCAATAATCTCCTGGTAGCAGCCCCTGATCTATGTGTTGAGTGTGAAGATCATCCAGTTTGGGCAGCTTCATCTCTTGGGATCCTAAAAATAGCAGATTTGTATAGTTTTGTTGTGAAAAATGCTGGTGCCACCCTGAGAATTACTAAATTGTTGTGGCTCAAACATGTCCCTCCTAAGGTACAATTGTTTGTGTGGTTTGCTTGGAAAGGGAGAATTAAGACCAGGGAGTTTTTACAAAAGCTGGGAGTGATCTGTGAAAATGACTCCACAGTTTGTGTGTTTTGTAACAGCGAAAGTGAGTCATTGAACCATGTCTTAATCTGGTGCCCATTTGTGTGGAACATATGGACTGAAATGCTAAAGTGGTGGGATGTCCAATCTGCTTTGCCATGCACTGTGGAGAGTCTCCGCCTGTAGTGGACTGGGGGAAAGTTAAAGAAGAAAGAAAGGTTGATTTGGGGGACAATTCCATTGGCAGTGATGTGGTCAGTCTGGAGATGCAGGAATGAGTGTGTCTTCAGAGCAACTCCCCCAAATTTAGAGGATCTCTGTGAATTAATTAAAAACAAGATTGCTTTCTGGGTAAACCCATATCTAAGAGATTTTCAGTTCTCTGTACAGGATTTTGGAACCAATCTGAGGCAAATTAGGTGGTGTTTGGGAGGGGTAGGTGCAATGGGCTGAACTGCTGTAGTGTGCTGTAGTGTGCCTTTGCTGTTGTGTTTTTACGGTGTTGACATCTGTGCTGTGAAGCTCTGCATATGTGTGAGGAACAGTTGTGTGTTGCAGTGTGAAAACTCTGAAGGGTGGTAGTGTGTAGATTTGCATCTGTGTGGTGTAGCTATGCTGTTATTCTAAAGGGTGGAAATTCTGAACTAAGGCCAGAGGTGTAGTCTGTGTAATTTCTAGGTTTAGGTGTCCTCACCCAGCTTTGCATCTGTGCAAATTGAAGTTTATATGCTGTGTAGTCTGCTTGTTCTGAAGACTGATCTACAATCTGAAGTATATCTGATTTTCTGCAGTTTGGGGTGTTACTTGGCTGTGTTGTAGTCAGTTGGTTGTAGGGGAGGTTGTAGTGCTGCTCCATTACTCTATCTGTTGTAGTACAGGGTTTCATCTATTTCTTTCCTGGCATAGAATCAGCAGTGGTTCAATTTTGGGTGTCCAGATCTTATTTCCTTGCTAGCCAGATTTATTGTGTGCTGCATTTTGCTCTGAATCTATGTGCTCTAGCTCATATCAGCAAATTGATGGTGGTTCTATTTCTGAACAGGATAGCTTCCCTTTTCTGAACAGGATTGTTTCAAGCCTAATTGTTGTAGGAGTTTTGCTCAGTTTTGGTGTTTGTGTTCAGTGCAATTTAGCTGATATGTAGTCTGCTTGATTCATTTCTGTTCCTTTTTGTGTTGTTGTTGGTTTCTCACCATTTGGTGCTTAGAGCTTCAGTAAGCTCCAAGCTCCTCTTTATTGATGTCCTGTATCCTTCTTGTATACTTTCATCAATAAAGATTTTCTTTGCCGATTAAAAAAAAAAAAAAAATGCAAGCACACACAACAACAACAATTTCTAAATAACAAAGAGTTATGTTAGAAATTTCAAATAAATTATCAATTTTTTTACTAAATCTTTAACATGAGTATAGGAAACACATAATTTGTATGAATCTCACGCCTATACGAAAAATTTTATAAAAAAATTGATAATTTATTTGTATTCGATAGCATTTTCCAACAACAAAAACGAAAGTAGCAGCAAAACAGATTGCCTCATACTAATAAGCCATCTATGAATTAGATCGGTTTCTCATGCAAGCCTCGACAACCCATCTCTCAAACATCTGTCACCGCCCATTCCACGCGTCCACTCCTTCATCCCTTTAAATTTACACCTCTTCATCACTCCCTCTTCATCACTCTCTCCCACTCTCTCTCTCTCTCTCTCTCTCTCTCTCCCTCTATCTAGTAGTGTTCCCTCCCTCCCTACCGCCCTCCATGGCTGAGCAGCGCATTCAAGAGTACCAACAAAAAGCCACCGACAACTTCAAGGGCTTCCTCCCTGAAAAGGGTCCCTCCAAGTCTCAAATCCTAGCAGTGGTCACCCTCCTCCCTGTTGGAGGCTTCCTCCTCCTCCTCTCCGGCCTGACTCTCACCGGAACACTCATAGGCCTCGCCGTCACCACCCCGCTTTTCGTCATCTGCAGCCCAGTTCTCGTCCCCGCCGCTCTCACCGTTGCGCTGGCCGTAGCCGGTTTCTTGACTTCGGGAGCTTTTGGAATCACCGCTCTGTCATCTCTCTCGTGGATCATCAACTATATACGTAGATCCCGCATGCCGGAGCCCATCGAGTATGCAAAGCGGCGCGTGCATGACACCGCGGGTCAAATGGGCCAGAAGACTAGGGAAGTGGGCCAGAAGGCCCAGGAATCTGTCCGAACATAAGGGTTTCAAGGAAGTGTGCTTTTTTGGGCCCATGGCCCATTTGAGTATATGCATATGCCTAATGGGGTTGTCTAGTTTATGTCTCTTGTAATTGCTGCTTTTCGTGGGAGGTGGCACAACGTAATAAAATGGATGGTGTGAGTGAGTAGTCATGAATTGTCCACGTTGATATGATATGGTGTGCTTTTTAATTTGGAGTCTTTGAATAAATATTCGTTGTTTTGATATGATGATATGTACTACTTTTAATTTGGTGTCTTCGAATAAATATTTGTAATTTAAGATTTGTCATTTGTTAAATAGATCTTTGATTACATACTTTCTGAGTTATGAGAATTTCTCAATTTTATAATAATTGAATTAGTTCAATTGTGACAAGGCAAATTATTTAAAAAGTTAGGAGATTAATCTGAAAAAATAGATAATTTTTTTTTTTTTTTTTCATTTGAGGGTTTACTCATGAGCTAATAGTTGATTTCAACTCACCTTGCATGTGGCATGGCATCCTAAGACGGCAGGTTGTTGGTCGCAAAAGGACGCCACCGCGGAGTAATATTACGTGTTATGAAAGTAATCATAAAAGATTCTCTATCGTTAGATTATACATAAAAAAAATACCACACACTAATCAAGAAATGAAAAATATTTATGAAACAGTTTATAATATTTTTTTCATAATTCCTAATATTATCCAGTCCGATTGGTCCCAAATAGTTCAACGCACACTCGTACCTTTGCACGCATGCGCGTCCATGCTTTCAGGTTGGTGGGGCTTCAAGTAAAGCTTTGGGGCTTCAAGTAAAGCCTTGGGCGCTTTTGTGTAAGTTTTTTTTATTTTTGGGGATTTAGTGGATTTTGTGCGCCCATGCTTTCACGTCGGTGGGCTTCATGTAAACCTATGGTCGCTTTTGTGTAATTTTTTTTTTATTATTGGGATTTAGTGGATTATTAGTATCACTCTTCAAATATGTAAGATGTGTCCTTGTGTTGTAATCTATGAATGACTTCAAATATTATTATGAAGGGGAAAGGTGTACTATCTATATGTCTTCCTGCACAAACCAGGTTTTAAGTGAGCAATCCCTACCAAATTAGGTTTAAAAAAAAGTGAGCAACCCAAGGGCAGGGCAGGTTTTGGGCATTGACCTTTTGTGTAAATTTTTATTATTCTTATGATTTATTGGATTACTATTATGAATCGTCAAATATGTGAAATGTGTCATTGTGTTAGAATCTGTAAAATGTGTCATCGTGTTAAAATCTGTAAATGGCTTAAAGTATCATTATGAAAGGGGTAGGTGTGCTACCTATACGTCCTTCCGCCGCCCAAATTACACTACAAAAAAATTAATGTTTTATAAGCTAAAATTTAGAAAAAAAAAATTATTTTTTAAGAACTAAATATTTTTGTTACGAAAAGCGCTGTTATTATATTTTTAATAACAAAAATTGAAATTAGTGATGAATTATTATCTTTTTGGGATCAATTTTTTTCTAAAAAAATAAACCGCTTTAGGACCAAATTATTTTGTCCCTAAAAGTCTATTTATTAATGACATTTTCAAAATGTTGTCGCTAAAAGTCTTATTTTTGACTTTTCGGGATGATTTGTTAGCGACTATCCTCATAATGATAGAAATTGCTCCTTAAATGTCTTTTATAACAAAATTTTCACTTTTAGAGATTAAAAAATTTGGTTTCTAAAACTCTTATATGTTGTAGTGTTAAGCTTCAAATGAGCAACTTAGGGGCGGGTTTTGGGAATTAATCTTTGGTCACCTTTGTGTAAATTTTTATTATTGAGATTTATTGAATTATTATTATGACTCTTCAATCATGTGGGGTGTTTCCTTGTGTTGTAATCTGTAAATGGCTTAAAATGCTGTTATGAAAGGGCAAGATGTGCTACCTATATATCTTCTCGTCCAAACTAAGTTCCAAGTGAGCAACCCAAGGACGGGATTAGGGCATTCAGAGGGGTCCGAGTGATTATTTGATTATCTTGGAGTATTAATTTATACCATTTATCACTTACACTTGTCAAGTTACTTCTCAAAATGCCAATAAAAAATATTAAGTCTTACTATTTTAACTAATGAATATCAAGTAGAAGCACTACATGAATTTGCTCTAAGCGCAAAAACTAATTTCTTATTTCTTTCTTTCCCATTATACCCTTTTCTTAGGGTAATTGTTGGGCATTGGTGTTTCCTCTCTATTATGAGCATTGGTGTGTCTGTGAGAGTTGATTGTTCAGCATATATGGGTGTTTGGTTATGATTATTTGTAATTTTTTATATTATAAATAAATAAAACAAGCAGTATCTCAATTTTATAAAGCCTGCAATAAATTATCAAAATTAATGTTTATAAAAATGCTTCGTAGCCTGAAAATGAGGGGCCCGAATGGCCGAATTAGTGCTTATCGGACGTTCGCTCGGACGACTAGTTGGACGTCCGCCCGGACGACCGGGTGAAAACTTATCTACCGCGGTTGTTACCTTTGTCAACCACGGCTGTTAGCCTCCTTGCCGACCGGACAATCGGTCGAACGACAGGCCAAACGTCCGCCTGGATGACCAACAACATGAATTTCGAGCCATTCGAGCCAACCACCTTTTTGGGCTACCAAGCATTGCTCTATTGTTTATAAGTTAATAAAATTTCAAAACATATTTTAATTATTTTTAATTTAAAATATGGTGTGAATCTTTTATATCATTCATTATGAAATAGACTTTTTTTTTTTAATTGAGAAAAATACACATATCAGTTGTGCTTTAAAAAAATAATTACTAATATATGAAAAGTTTTATGTGTTTAATAATTAAAATTTGAAAAATTTATCATTAATTTAAATAAAAAAATCAGAACACCTACTGATATGTTATTCTCCTTTTTATTTTAGGGAAAAATTCATTTTACCCTCTTATAGTTTGGGATTAGAGCATTTTACTCCATGTGATTTAAATATGGGCAAATTTTGGACTAATTTGTAACTGTTAGATTTTCGATTCAAATGGACAAAATGTAGATTACACACACCTTGCCCAATTGTGCATGGCTGCATTTTCTCTTTTCCCACCAAAAATGATTTGATAAAAAGACATAAATGACCCTAACTATTCTATCTCCATCTTCTACATCTAAACCCTAATAAACCAAAAGTCTAGGTGCACGACCAAATATAGATCTGAACACAGAATTATGTATCCAATCATTTGGCCGGACGATTGACCAGAGCTTGTTGACCACAGCTATCATCTTGGCTAGAGATTGTCAACCAGGACTGTCATGGTGTCAACCACGACTGTCATGGTGTCGACTGCAGCTGTCATGATCTCTTATATGGTCGTCTGAGTAGACGTCGAGCGGTCATCCGGTAGAACAGTTTCTGTGTTTGGTTATGTGTTTGGTTTGTAACATTGTTGCCCTAATAAATACTCAAACTCTAACCAACTGACTTTACTCCTTCCAACTCTCTCTCTCTATATATATGTACGTTTACATACATAAATAGTTTTCTTCTTGTTAAATTTTAAGGACCTAAAGCTAACAATGTTGGTTGGTGAACCGAAACAATAGAAGATCATGGCCACTGACGAGGACTTTATTGACCTCGAGGACATTATGAAATGAATGCAAGTCAAATTCACAGGATGACATGTGCATCTTGTTCAAATTTAGTCAAAGTGTAACACTCCGTACTTCTTGGTAAAATGGAATTATATTTGACTCTTTGATTATCATGATAGAAAACATTCTTAGTCAATATTTGTGCCTTTGTTGAGATGTTACCGTAGTAGTTGGGTGAGATTGGATCAAAAACTCCAAATTCGAATAGTTATTATTGAGTATTCTTCACTCTTTTATCATTTTCTCTCTCCACTCTTTGAATCTTGATGTGAAGCTAGAACTATTGGAAAACTTACTTGTGGAGCTTCAATTTAGACACAAGATTGATCCTAAACGGAGTACGAATGAGAGTTATGTATTTTTGAAGTTTGCGAATATGTACTGTGTGCATAGTTCGCTCGAGCGCAACTTTCACCACTCGAGCAATCTATAGACCCTTCCACCTTTATTTTTTCAAAATTTTCTGAGATATTGGAAGCCTCGATTCACCACTTGAGCGCACTTTTGACTGCTGGAGCATTCTGTCTAGAATCAGATCTTTAAAAGTCACTTGTTGGGTCAAATCTCTTCGTTTTTCACTCTCTTCCCTCTTTTCGCCATTTTTGAGTTTTCAAGCTTTTTAACCTTAATTTCATTTATTTCTAATCATCATGAACCCCTAGTTCCATACCAAAATGTAGAGCTCGATGAGGGCTTCCATTTAATCTGAGCAGATTGTCGTTTTGTTGCCGGTGATTTTTGGATTGTCTCCTCTTTGCTTCAAAAGGTAGGGATTCTTTTGCTCCACTTCAATACCTCTTCATAGATAGACATGTGGTAGTTTTTATTACATTTAAAAATATGTTTGTTAAGAGATTTTTCAAAAGCATGAAAGGGGATTTGGGGTTTGAGTTTTGGGAGTTGAAATTGTATAATTGTTGGTTGATTTGGTATGTTAGGAGGCAATTAATCATGTTTATATTGATTGTGGCGAAAAGCCCTAATTTATTATTAAGAATTAATAAACAAAAAGGGATAAAGTTAGGTAATAATTGGGTTATGTGTTATGAGATTGAATAAATGCTTATGAGATTTAACAAATGGTTTAGGGGATTGAATTAATGTTTTGGTTGCTAAAAGCGATTAACCAGGCCTAGTAATTGTTTTGATGTGTTGCGTTGAGTTGGTGTAGACACCCCATTTTTGACCGTCCTTAAGACTTGGATGTCAACGCTTGAATATTCGGTGATCATCCATGTTTGTGTTCATCTTGAGTTCCCGGGAGGTCTCGGTTACGCGCCTTGCCTCAGGATCTCTCGACTCGACTGTTTTGTGTTTGGTTTTGCACCAAACACTTGTGTTTTGCTTTTGAGGGGCAAGGAATGGCTTGTTAGCCATCCTCATACCTCACCGACCATGGCTTGAGGCCACCGGCCCTGTTTTATTGCCATCGGCCATTAATGATGGCCGACCGGCACTGTTTTTGGTCTACCGACCTTGTTTCCTTCCCACCGGCCATTGGTGATGGCCGGTTGGCACTATTGATGGTCGGTCGGCATTGTGTTTGGTCGGCCGGCCACTGATTTTGGTCAATCGGCCACTTTTTCTGGCCGAGCCCTTTTCTTGAGAGGGTTTGAACCTTTTGAACCCCTGTTTTAGCTTCTTGAAGAAGCTTGAACCCTTTG